TTCCTGGGGTCCATTCCCTTGACTTTCTCTGCTTCCTGGCCTCCATCAGCTGGGTAGATTTCCTCCTGCAGGCCCTTCTGTCACACTGTTCTTCCTCACCTTGAGCCCTGAGCAATGGGGTCAGCAACCATGGACTAAATACCATAAGCCACAATAAACTTTCCCTTATCTATGTTGTTCTTTTCAGATATTTCAGTGACAGTGATGGAAAAGCTGACTAACACAGGGGTAAAGAATAATGTTTCCAACAAGTTATGTGGAAACAATCGGATATCCACACGGAAGAAGAGAACCTTGACCATTGTCATATGATTAAAAAAGAATTCTACAACATATCACAGATCTAAATATAAATGCTGGCTTTTAAAATAAAACATAAAGACTATCTTAACTTTTGATTAGACAAAATTTTAAAAGGTAGAATACCAATAATCTAAATCATAAAATAAAAAGAATGATAAATTAAACTTCATCTAAATTAAATTCTTATTTTCTTTGAAATACACTATTTAAAAATGGAACAGGGAGGCCACAGCCTGAGAGAAAATGTTCATATCATATATATCTGACAAAGGACTTGTATTCAGAATATACTAAGAATTCTTCTAGTTCTATAAAAAAAGATAGAGAATGCAATTAAAACATACGGAAAATCTGTTTTTTAAAAGAGAAGATATGAATGACCAATATGCAGATGAAATGTGCGTGTTTAGGTACTTACTTGCCTTTAGTGAAAAGTACATTATACATACAATGGCCTGTCACTTATTAGGGTGATTGAGAAGGTATGACTTAGACAATTCTTTGTGCATTGTTGGCAAAATGTAAAGTCCTTCCATTTCTTTGAAATATTTTGGCAGTTCCTTATAAAGCTAAACATGCACTTAACTATGTGATTCACTCTATTCCTAGGTATTAATCCAAGAGGAATAAAACTGTATGTCATTACAATGACCTGTATATAACTCTATTAATAATCATTAAGACTTGAAAGTTCCATCAACAGACAAATAAATAAACAAGTTGTGAAATTGTCATATGTGGAATACTATTCAGCAATAAAAAAGAACAAACTATGGAGCTGTAGCAACATAGGTAAATCTTAGAAACACACTAAATTAATAAAATCAGGCATAATATTGCAAATACTTCATAATTCTACTTATAAAGAATATTTAGTCCAAGGAGAGACTTAAAATCTATAATGAGAGAGCTTATGAAGAACTGGAAGTGGCTTGCAGGTTAAAGTTTACATGAGAACTTTGGAGATGATAAAAATGCTCACCACTTAATGCATTTGTGAAGACTTATCTAACTACGTGTAATATTTTTCAATACACCTTACCTCAAGTTGATAGGACTTTTTTTTTCAGTACTGGGAATTGAGCCCATGACCTCACTCAGGCAAGCACTCTACCCTTTTATTTTATTTTGAGACGGAATTTCATTAAGTTGCCAGATTAGTTTTAACCTTGAGGTTCCCCTGTCTGATCTTCTGGTGTAGCCAACATATTGGGTTGTGCCACAATGCCTAACTTGAATAATTTTTAAAAGAGCTTCAAAATATATAGTTAAAAACTTTCATACTATTGATAAAAAAAGGTTAACTCTATATAATTAAGAGGCAAATATGACAACTTAAAAAGTTTGGTTCAAGGCATTTGGGTCATCCAAAAACTCACAAGCATAGCCTAGGTAAAGTTGATTATGTGTTAACTGTGCTTCTTTCTTCCATCTTAAGAGACGATGTGCTAATTTGTTTTGTTACTATTACAAAACACCCAAGAATGAATATTTTATAAAGAAAAGAGGCTTATTTAGTTCACAGTTTTTGAGTTTCAAGGGCATGGCACTGTCACTTGCACAGATCTTATAAAGGCCTGTGGTGGATAGCATTGCAATGGTGGGGACATGTGTGAGAGAAGAAATCATATTGACAAATAGAAAGCCAGAATGAGGGGAGGTGGCAGGCTCACTCTTTTCTTTCTCTTCTCTTTCCTCTTTTCTCTCTTTCCTTTTTTTTGGGGGGGGCGGTGTTGGTGCTGGGGTGAAACCCAGGGTGTTGCATGTTGCACATGCCGGGCAAGTGTTCTACCACTGAGCTCTATCCCCAGCCCCTTAGGCTACTCTTTAGTAACAACTCTTTCCAGAAAGCAAACCAGGTCCCATGAGAACTATATTAATTCCTTATGAGATTGATGCATTAATAACCTAAATACTTCCCATTAGTCCCTACCTCTTAAAAGTTCTATGATCTCCCAACTCTGCTACAATGAGGACCAAGATAACTCATGAGCTCTTTGAGGAGCAAAATACATCAAAGGCATAGAAGCTCAAAATGATTCTTGTAGCTGGTTTAATATCATTTTATTACAAACAAAATGGCATTTACTTTCTTTTCTTTTACCATGAATATTTACTACTTTTGGGCACCTAGAGTCTTTTTTCTTTCAGTGAAAAATAAATGATAATAAGAATTTGATTAAGTTTCTGGCTGAATTGGCTAATACAAAATCACCACCTCATTAAGGTATGGAAATATTCTTCAGTAACCCTGGTAAGAGAGCAGAAGAATGTGGGTGCTTGGTGTTCAGTGCTCAGTAACCTCCCAGATAACTGTTTATGTGCAGGGAGCTGACCCTGAAGCGGGTGCTGAGGACTTGCACATCTGGCCTTTATTGTGGGTGTATGCACAATTCAGGCAATGAGTGTACTGCGGAAGTGTGTGCCACAATGTGAAGGCCTTAGAGCCCCATGCATCTGGATCATACCTGTGTACACTAACAGGTTCTTTTTTCTCTTTTGCTTTCTTATTTAAAAATAAGTGATATTTTCGTGACTTGCCAGTTGACTCTTAAGTTAGCCTGGGTTCCCTAAAAGACACATCTTAAGACAAAATGTAAGTGGTGTGCTTTACTAATGAAAACAGGAGTGAAGATAAAAGGGATGGAGGAATGGAAAGAGGGAACAGTGAAAAATGTGTCATAAAGCAGGCCAATGCTGAGTATGAAGCCCAACTGGTGGATCTATCTCACAAGATCAAATTTGAGAGACCAACAACTACTGTCTCTCAGGACACTTCTTAGGAGACAATAAAGGGGAAGCATTTATCCACTGACTCCTATCTTCTATCAGACAAAGGTCCACACTATGAGGTTCTAACTTGCTTGGAATTTTAGATTATACATATATAGGTACTGAACAGGTCCTGTGCCATCGTAGATCTCTATGGTGAGCCGCTTCTGCCGTTTCTGCAGACTATGGTCGCCATTACAAGATGGCGCTGGCTCCGCTGTGGTCTGTGACAAACAACTCCTTATTTGGGAGAGTTGGCGCATGGTTTTTCACCACCCTATGAGAAAGCTCCACGTGGCAGCTTCGCATTGGGGCTTGAGATGCTTTATTAAGGCTGGGAGGGGCATCCGAGGGAGAGAAGAAGAAATATCAAGGGCCTGAATAAACTGCTGAAAGAAGATTCCTGAGTTGCGTCTTCCTTGCGGGCAAGGGGTCGCGACAGATCTCTTTATACGTTAAGAGGGTAGAAGGTGGGAAATGATGGCAAGCAATAGGGACATGAGATGAGCCATGAAGGCTTGTTTCCATTTAAAACTGATCAGAGCTCCTGCAGAACTGGGTGCTGAGGCAGCAACAGGGGTGAAATATAAAGTCAAGAACCAGAGAGAAGGAGAGAGACACAGAGATCCAAGCCAATACCATCCAAGGTAGTGCACAGCTGGATAATAATGACACTTGTAGTGTGTTTTTGCAAGTCTTAGAGCATATAAATCAGCAATGATGGGGACAATTCTTTCTGTTATTGGGTTTTATTCAAACACCTTATTTGCATTGTTTACCTTTGATAGTTATGATCCCCAGCAGGGTGCTTCTATAGAAGAAGTGTGTGCAAACAAGAGAAATAGATTAAATCATGTGTGTGTGTGTGTGTGTGTGTGATAGCAGTGTTATCATTTTGCAGATGATTTCATTGCACTTAAAAGGACACAGAATATGAAGCAGTTGTGAATAGACTTTTCCAGAAAATAATTATGGAGCTATATTTATCTCCAAAATCTTTCAGGTACTGCAGCCGCATTTGCCATTCCAAAAATAAAAATGCTAATTTTTAGAAAAGGCAAAGATATTTAAAATTAATGAACAGAAACATCCCAACTTGAGAATGAAGGTTTAGATTTAGATATTTACCTATATAAAGTCACCATGATAGGAAAAACATTACAGAAAACATTTGTCTATAGTTATGTATTATTAACTGTTCATTAAGTCCTGGAATGGCCTGAAGAAGTCTATAGAATCCAACATTGAGCTTGATCTGTGGGTTTTGTTGGCTGACCACAGATGGATTGAGTAATCATCTTCCTCAATATTAGTAGTCTGGGGTACAGGGAAACTGTATTGAGAATCATCACTAAAGAAAAATAAACAACCCGTGGCCATGGGTGAGCACCCCTTAGGCACACAGTGGTGATACATGGGGAAGGTTGGAAACTGGTGTACACCAGTTTGTTTCTTGGCCACTGTACCAGAGGGTTTTTTTGTTTGTTTGTTTGTTTTGTCTTGTTTTTGTTTTTAATGAGAGTTAAAGGATGGAGGCCTGTAATAGGGAAAAGGAGGATTCTGGTCTTATATTAAGAACCACGGACAGCTCCTGGCTGCTGCAGAAAAGGCACATTATCTTCCCATTCCTGACGTAAGAGTCCAGAGTCTCCAAGTCTGATTTGGATTCCAGTTTACTGATATAAAAGATGAATATTCAACATTCTCTTTACCATTCATTTAATTGCATTTATGTGAGCAGGAAGAACTCAGGGATCTCGTGAATTGTTCAGGGGTGAGGTTGAAAGGATAGTTAAGGAACCAATTTTTTTTTTTTAACATGGTAATATTTTATAAATAAATAATCGGGCCGCCATGCAAGGGGCTGGAAGATGGGTCAGGCGGGAAAGCCCGGGGGTGGGGGTAGGGGCGGGGATCCCCACGTCGTCGTTTGAATGCTGGATGACTGTAGGGAAGAGCGGATCCCACCCAGGTTAGGCCACAGGAGCAGCGCCATGTGCTCTGGGCTCCTGGCCCTCCTGCTGCCAATTTGGCTTTCCTGGACCTTGGCGACCCAAGGCTCTGAGCCCCGCAGGTGAGGCGGGGGGCTTCCCGGGGTTCCGCAGCCTCCCCCCGGACGCAGTATCGCGTAGATCCGCAGCCGGAGGCGCAGTATGGCACCCACCGGCTCCGGGCTGTACTGAAACTGGCTGGGGGTCGGGTTGAGAGGCTCGGAATGGGGTTTGAAGGATGCGGGTAGCGTTTCCCTAGCTGCCGCTGCTCGCGCGGCGGTAGCTGCGGGTCCCCTCCCTCGCCCTGCCGCAAGGAGCCCAGAGGAGCTGGCTCGGTGGCCGATTCCCGGCCCCGCCTGGCGCCACGCAGCCGCGGCTTCCGCCCGCAGTGTCCCGCCGGGCCGGCCGCTACACCCTATAGTCTCTGCGCTCCGAGTCCTGCGTGGCGGCTGCTGAGGTGGGAGAGGGCGCCTAGGGTCGGGGCCGCCGGGCAGCAGTGAGCGCGGGGGAGGGCCAGGAGCTTGGCGAGGCCAGCTCCGCCTCCGACTCGTCCTGCCTCCTCCCCCTCCCTCCGCTCCCGCGCCCGCTGCTCCTCCCCTCCCCGCGCCCGCTCCTCCCCCTCCTCTACTCCCCTTCCCCCTCCGCCCTCCTCCGCTCCCGGCCAGCGCGGCGGCGGCGGCGGCGGCAGCAGCAGGAGCAGCCCCGGCTGCGGGTCGCGACGGCGGCGGGGCGCCCCCTCCCCCGTGCCGGGGCGCGGCGGAGGGATGTGGGGCTTTGCGGGAGGAAGGCTTTTCGGCATCTTCTCGGCCCCAGTGCTGGTGGCTGTGGTTTGCTGCGCCCAGAGGTAGGGTCGCGGGTGGGTTGACGGGAAGCGGGCCGGGCGGCGGGCAGGGCGCACGGTGTGCGCCCCGAGCGCTGGCGAGTGAGCCACCGCCTGACCCTGCTTTCTGTGCCTCCCTCCTTCCCCCCCCCCCCCCCAGCGTGAACGATCCCGGGAACATGTCCTTTGTGAAGGAGACGGTGGACAAGCTGTTGAAAGGCTATGACATTCGCCTAAGACCCGACTTTGGGGGTAAGTGGGATGCGCGCTGCCGTTGCGGGAAGCGCAACCCACCGCGTTGGCGGCCTGGGTAGAAGAGAGAGGCGGGGGCCGCATCCGCTAAGCTGCAGCGGAATGGGGGGGTGGGTTGTATTTCATCTGCGCCCCCTCCCGGGATAGTCCCCCATTCTCAGAGCCGCCCGCACCCCTTGCCGGAGCCTGGCTGATCACCGTGTGGTGCGCTTCCCGCAGGTCCCCCAGTCTGCGTGGGGATGAACATCGACATCGCCAGCATCGACATGGTTTCTGAAGTCAACATGGTGAGTGCCTGCCCTTCCCAAGGCTGTCTCAGAGCTCCTATCCTGCTGTCTGGGCCCGCTGGCGTCCACAGTGCTGGGCCAGAGGCCTCCGGAACCCGGCGGAGTTTCCTGGGCCCGGGAAGGGAGCCGCGCTCCTGGGCGCGGGCCTTTTGCTAACCCGGCTCTCTCCACATGCTGAGTGTGTATGGGGGTGTTGCAGGCGTTGGAGCTTTGCGGAGGGCGCACCCTGCCTGCAGAAGGGGTCCCGGGCTGGCCTAGAGCCCTGCTCTCACGGCCGCCCTCGTGCTCAGAGCTCCTCCAGCGGGCTGTCACCTGGTCGCTAGGCTTGCCTAGTGCCGTCTAGCCTCCTTAGCAACAGGCGCTGGGGAACCGGGGAGTGAGGCGAGATGTGGGGGTGGCTCGTATATTCTAGGTAAGAGGTACTTAAGGTTTCCTTTGTTGTCATTTGGAAAGAAATACTGGTAGCTTGAGAGGAGGAGGGGAGGTGTGTGGAGGGGTGGCTTGTGTATACTAGGTGTGACTCAGGTCAGTTCATCGGTCTCAGCTTCTTTCCTAAGTTAGGCAGGCTTCTGAACCCTGAGAACCTGCCTTCAGCTCTGCGGGTCGCTGTCCAGGGTGCTGACGGAGCCCTGCCTACCCAGAGAAGGAGAGGGCCCGAGCTGCAGGCCTTCTCTAGAAAGGGGCAGCTTTGCCAGGAGAGTCCAAGACTAGTGTTCTGTGTGTCACTTAGGGCTTATGTGAATGCTGGCAGGATTCATTATTCTGACCTGTGGAAAGCAGAGGTCAGTATTCTGAGGTGCAGAGAGTGTCAGAGACATTTGCCCACAAAGCTTTTTAGGGCACCAGGGAATGATGAGACAAATGACCCCTTTCATTTGTTACTTGAGCTGAAATGAGATTTGAAAACAGGTTTGATTTTTGTGCTGAGTGGAACTTTAGAAATCCTAAGAATAAGCATTTGGAGAAAAATATTGGAAGAAACCATTGACAACTTTTCTTTTGAACATACAACACTGAGAATATGAGGCATGGTTTTAGAGAATATGAGGCATAGGTTTCTCAACTCTGATGTACGTCAATATCACTTGGGGGCATACTTGTTTTTAAATGCATGCTCACTGTTTCTCACTCCAAGGGATTATGATCTAGCTGGGCCAAAGTGGAGTTTTCAGGTCCCAGCATTTAAAACTGGTGCTTCAGATTATTTTGAAGCTGGTATTTCATGCACAGTATTTTGAGAAATAGTGCAATAAGTTATAAAAATATGAATGCATTAAAATAAACTAAAGGTGTTATTTTATATGGACTTTAATGAAATGTATTTTAAAATGTATACAACTGAGGATTTCACAGGATGAAGTTTTTGACTACATTAAAATATTTTCATCACATTTTCACTTTTAATCTGAATTTGAAAAAAAATAGTGTGAGGGGCTTGGGATGTAGCTCCGTGGCAGAGCACTTGCCTAGTATGAACAAGGTCCTGAGTTCCATCTCCAGCACTGAAAAAAAAGAAAAAAAAAAGTTTGTTTTGTAAAGTATACCACTTAGGACATTTATATATGAAGGCAGTATGAGTATTAGCAAAACACATGGAAAGAATGTTGCTAACTTTCATTAAAATTTAACATTATGAATATTTCACTCATTGATAATTTTATGAAAATAATTCTGTTCAAAAGACATGCTTTATTATCTTAAGGGAACAAATTTTTTATATTTAAGATTCAGTCTCTCAAAACTGGTTTTCTTAATTGGGGACATCAAATTCTCTAGAGAAGAAAATTTAACACAATAGTTAATGGATATTTAGTGGATTTTTCTATCAAAAATTATTATATTGAATGTGATGGAAGAGAAAACGTATTGAGTGACTCTTTAAGAACCCTATACAATATTAAAACAACCAGAAGAATAGCGGGAATATATTATTGCAGACCATTACACATTCTGTGTTACTTTTAAACTTAGCTATCCATTTGCTCTGGTATTGTGCTGATAGTTGGTACATTTAAAAACTTTATTATTTTTGCCTTAATTTATGTTCCATGAATCAATGTGTTCCTATTTTCTATGGGCTCAATAATTTAAAGACAAATTCAACATACAGGCCATGATATTGAATAGTCTTTAAGTATATATCCTATAGCAATCCCAATGCATAGCATAGCTGTGGTATTCTTGCATTCATTTTTTTCTCTTGCATTCTCATGGTAGTATTCTTTTTTCTGTCTCTGTAAACATAAAATAATTGTAGACAAAAATTGAGGATTAATGGGATTGGATACTGTAGGCTTTTGGAAAGATGTGACTGAAAGCCATTTGAAATGTGTTCTTCCTCCAAGAAGCAGATTAATCAATACCAAGCTGTAGAAAATTCTGATTTTCCTTAATATATTTGTGTCTGATAATGGCTGTTATTTAACCTATTATTACAGGAACTTCAAAGGTAGCAATTGTTGAGTGTTACTTTGGGAGTCACATTTTATAGGGAAAGGACAGAATATTTGAGTGTAAGATTAGAACTACCACTCAATCACAGTCCTTTGAAAACAAATTGTTTTATTAGGTTTTATAATTACACTAGTCATTACAAAAATTGTTATAAGTTATGGATAAAGAAATGGTCACTAAATAAGATATGATTTTCCTTTAAGGGTTTTGTAACAAAAGTAGGATAGTAGGAGATGAGAAATCCCATTCTATTAGAAGAACAGATGAAAGTAGCAGGAGAGAGAGAGAGAGAGAGAGAGAGAGAGAGAGAGAGAGAGAGAGAACTTGGAGGAGAGAAGTCTTGGGAGAAGTTATTTTGATGTTGAAATCTTTTGTGAAACAAAGTATATTTAAATTGGATGAGGGAGATGAATAGCATTCTGAGACTGTCATAGGAGGAGGAAAGAAAACAGTAAAGATATAGATGGATGAATGGGCAGGATCAAACTCTGAATGGGATAATTAAGAGAAGCAATGGGGAAAATACGACAGACCTATGTACACCTGAGCCTTTCTCCATGATGCAAAAGAATTCAGATGATAATTTTTGGAAAATAAGAAGAATACAAATGGTAAACGTTCTTAAGCAGTGATTGATAAAATTTTGGATGTGCTTTTTAAGATGAATGTTTTGGCCAACATGTAAATTTAGACAGAGGAGTAACAATGGCAAAATTTAAAAAAACTATGGATAAATGATCATGGAAGTGATATTGGGGATCAAATCGAGGGCCTCCTGCCTTCGAGGCAAGTGCTGTACCATTGAGTGACATCTCCAAACCCCATAAATAAATTTTTGAGAATCCTTTATAGTGAAATTTTTAAAAAGTCAAAGGTTTCAAATAAAGAAACTGAAAAGCATATGTATTTCAAATAGGAGAAATATGCGTAAGCTTGTTCTTGAGATTTTGGGGGGTGATTGCAAAGAAGGACAACAAATTTTGCACCATAGTAATAGTGCTGCTTTTTTCTTTAAATAACTATAATATGCATTCTTTCTAGTAGTGCCCACAGATGATGCCTCTCATCTTAAATAACAAATAGAGAGGTAAATTATATATATGCATGTATATCTCATCATTCATTTTGGTGTTTTGTAAAAACAACATAAGAATGGATTTGAATATTTTAGTATACAGCATTGGTTTTGCCATAGCTTGTTTTGTGGATAGTGGACGTATTTCACATTTCCATGTTTTTCTAAATCTTACAATTCTCCTTTTCATGCTCTTCTTTTTAATTAGCTGACCTAACAGTGATCAAAAACCATTTTGTTTTACATAACCTATCTTGTTTCTCTTAGTGAGTGCCTATTTGAAAATTTCTGTTAATCTTTTAAAATTATGCATGGTTACATAATTATTGAGATTTAGTCCATAGATTTTAAGTGAAATTGTGTATGTGAAAGTACATTGTCTCCTGAAAATTACTGTATATTCCTGTTGTAATTTTGGTGCTTAGCAGTAGTCCTAGTGTATAAGAAACACATGTTGGGTATACAGATGGAAAGATGAACCAGTGTATGAAGATTATTGAAAAATACAGGATACATAAGGAAATATTGAAAAAAAACCAGAAAAACTTAAACATGATATTTTAAAATGAGTTCTTTGTTATTTATTAGAATGAATCATTGATTTGTTAATTCAGAGCAGAAGCTACATGTACTTACTTTTTGCTTCATTAACTATAAAGCATTGGGGACATAAAACTAGATTTAAACTCTAGTAATATTAATTCTAATTTCTATGATTTAACTAGCACTTTGTTATTACTTATATTTAATTACTCCATTAAAATTTACTCAATTCTAATGAAAATGTAACTACAGGATTATTTTTTCCTGATTTCATGCACATAAATTATAAATTGCCATCCATTTTTTAAAATTAGCATTCCTTTAAGCAACAACTAATGTGTATGTTTAGTTATTATGAGCTGTATTCATCCATTATGCTAGTTCTATTTAATTCATTTTTCACTTGTTGCATATTCTTCTCATAAAATCCATATTTTCATGTCAGGTGTGAAAAAAGTGGCACATAAGAGCATAGTTTTAGCACATTTTTGAAATGTTACTTTTTGAAAATAACTTTGGAGTACATCATTGTTGAATGGATATAATCTACTCATGTACAAAATCGTATACACCTGGGCCGGTGTATGCATTTATGCTGTCATTTTATGTCTTTGTCCTTTTCTGAAGGGAGGAAAACTCAGAGAGAGGTTCTTGACTACAGTAAGCTAGGATCAGAGATTTGGAGAATTCATCTTTTAGGCATTTTTTTTTTTTTTACTAAATTTACATGAATGAACCTCTCCTTTCCCAGTTCAAAATCTAGAGGTTTCTTTGCCATTAGTGAATGCGCGAATGAGAGCCCAGCCTGTCCAGCACCTACCCAGGTTCTCAGGCAGGAGGTGCTGAATGTCAGCACCAGGTGGTGTACTTAAGAAAATAGTCTAGGACTAGAGCTATGGGTTCTATTTCCAAGTCTATGGCAATGTTT